GTCAATTTTGATTTAATATCGGGGTTGAAAATGAAATAGTTCAAGTGGGAAATATTACCCCCCCCCCATCCCTTCTTCGGCACACAAACACGAAAAATCATTAATCACATAATTTCTTGATTGCATTTATTTTAAAATTGTATTTATCGCGTTTTCCGAGTCTATTGCTTATTGTTTTGAACGAAAAAAATCACCTTAAACTTTTGTTTACAAAACCGCAAAGTTACCCTTTGTACCGTTAATATAATTTTTATTTCTATTGTTTTAACAAAATAATAATAAAACAATAAATAATTTAATATAGATCAAAATACATGTCGAGACAATATTCGACCAAAATCTGCTCCAATCCTAAAACGACAAAGTTTTTTGTTTATTTTCTCCCTCGGAGCTCGCGATTTAAAAACTTCGACTCGAGCCGTAATTCCTTAAACCCAACTTTAAGACCCGACCTTCGACCCAATTCTGACGTCAGCTTGTGTCACGTGATTGACAGCTGCAAGATCTTCGGCTCGACTTAAGGAGTAAGACCCAATGTAAATAAAATCTACCTTGGATGGTTTAAGTGTAGAATAAGGGTAAATGTTGGGTCTTGTTCTCATAAAAACCCGGAATGCGCCAATTCCTACCATGAAAACCGGCAAGTAGAATATTAAACCGGTTTTTTAAACTCAACTCTGTTGAAAAAAAGATGCAGCTTGAATTCGAGAGCTCAAGCCGTAAATAAGGCTCAACGACAGCTTAGACCCGAACGGTATTTTCCCGAATTTTTAAATCGCGGGCTCAGGAGAGTTTTAACTATGGAAAAACAAACGCATGTCAAAGTGATAAATAGTTCTAATATCAATGCATCATAAAAGCTCGTTTATTCTTAAAGTTTTATGAGATTCTATCAAGTTAAAATAGATCAAGGTGTTGTGACACTTTAAAGTCGACCCATGAACTTCACAATTACATAGTTATAACATTTTACAGATTGGACGTTTCATGGCAGATGGACAGGACATTACAAAAGTAGGTAATTTCACAGACCGAGCAGAATTTTCATAGAAAAAAATGTAATAAATTTTAAGATTTTTTGTTTTATTTTTATGTGATTTTTGTGCGCATTTTCAAAATCACTTTATTTATGAGATGTCCTATCCATGAAATGTTTTTATCTAAGAAAAGTCCGACCTATGTCATGTTTTAATCTAAAAAAAGACCAATCTATGAAATGACTATGCTTTTGCTACGAAATGTCCGATCTATAAAATTTCATTATCTAAGAAATGTCATTATCTTCGAAAAGTCCTATCTAAGAAATGTCATTATCTACAAAAAGTCTGATCTATGAAATGTTTTATCTTCGAAAAGTCTGATCTATGAAATGTCATTATCTACGAAAAGTTCTATCTAAGAAATGTCATTATCTACGAAAAGTCTGATCTATTGAAGTAGGACGGCCCTGCACTGTCATTTTTGTTATTATATGAATAAAATTTGATTATGTTTTCTTATTGTATGACTGTTTATATGTAATATGTATATTTGAATTTGTAGAATGTATCTAGAAAGTTGTTAAACCACTTGGCACTGGTACCTTCAAGCCAATATGAATACCAATGCATGACCTCGATTGCCGCGCGCACACATGGTTCAGGCTATAAAAGACCTGATTTTGATTCTAGTGGCACGCATTCTTAAACCAACCTGTAACCAGTAAACTTTAACTTATGTCTTAGTAAATAGTATACATAGTTTCTGCTTTAAGCATTAACTTCGTTTTATATATGTATGTATGTCTTAACAATTTTTGCTTTAAGCATTAATTCCTTCAAGCTATTTAATAGCTTTTGCTTACTTTATGTATGCACTACATTGCTGTTACAATCTTCACCCTTTTGCTTTAAGCATTTGCTTCAATATATCTTCTACCCAGCTATATTATAAGTTATATACTGTGTGCTTGCATAAAGATTGTTAATAAATATCTTTTAACCATTATAGTTTTCAACTTTGCAGAGATAGTAGTTATACAGGAGTAGTTCTGTTCTAACTAGTAACTATCACATGTAGTAAGGCATCCTACTACACTATGAAATGTCATTATATACGAAAAGTCCTATCTAAGAAATGTCATTATATACGAAAAGTCTGATCTATGAAATGTCATTACCTAAGAAATATCAAATCTAAGAAATGTCTTATTTGTAAAATGTCTTTATCTAAGAAATGTCCGATCAATCAAATGTCTTTTCTATAAACTGTCTTTCATATATGAAATGTCCAAGAAATGTATTTTTACAGTGTGCCTAATGTTTCTGGTTATAAAGCCCTAGTTCATGAATATTAATGGTTTAAGCTGGAACATTAAGAAGATGATGGTTTTAGGAATTAATCTCTATAAAATATATATTTATGCAATAAAAACATTTTATCACTAAACGTGCTTTTCACTGTAAAACTCATGGTGGTGCTTGGCCCTGTACCTTTCAAGTTCCGCCATTTTTTGCTCTTCGCGCGCAGAGTATACATAAAATAATTCTCAATGTATTTTGGTTCACTTTCTTTTCATTTGTAGATTTACAAAAACATTTTGAAGGACAAAGTGCCAAATTCTAGAGCGACAATAATCAAAAAGATTGCTGATAAAGTAACATTTAGAATGTTTAGCATTTAGAAAGAGAGAAACGGAATTTTTGATTTAAATGTATTTTCATAATTCATTTTAAATAACTAAACTTTCTTGTAATTTACGGACTGATTTTATTCCAGGACTAAATTGTAGAAATTATTGTCCCTGTCCTGCTAAAAGCTAAATATTATTGTCCCTATCATGCTAAAAACTAAATATTATTGTCCCTATCCTGCTAAAAACTTAAGATTATTGTCCCTTTCCTGCTAAAAACTAAAGATTATTTTCCCTGTCCTGGTAAAACCTAAAGATTATTGTTCCTGTCCTGCTAACAACTAAAGATTATTGTCCCTGTCCTGTTAAAAACTAAAGATTATTTTCCCTGTCCTGGTAAAACCTTAAGATTATTGTTCCTGTCCTGCTAACAACTAAAGATTATTGTCCCTGTCCTGTTAAAAACTAAAGATTATTGTCCCTGTCCTGGTAAAACCTTAAGATTATTGTCCCCGTCCTGCTAAAAGCTAAATATTATTGTCCCTATCATGCTAAAAACTAAATATTATTGTCCCTATCCTGCTAAAAACTTAAGATTATTGTCCCTTTCCTGCTAAAAACTAAAGATTATTTTCCCTGTCCTGGTAAAACCTAAAGATTATTGTTCCTGTCCTGCTAACAACTAAAGATTATTGTCCCTGTCCTGTTAAAAACTAAAGATTATTGTCCCTGTCCTGGTAAAACCTTAAGATTATTGTCCCCGTCCTGCTAAAAGCAAAGATTATTGTCCCTGTCCTGCTAAAAGCTAAATATTATTGTCCCAATCATGCTAAAAACTAAATATTATTGTCCCTGTCCTGCTAAAAACTAAATATGATTGTCCCTGTCCTGCTAAAAACTTAAGATTATTGTCCCTTTCTTGCTAAAAACTAACGATTATTTTCCCTGTCCTGGTAAAACCTTAAGATTATTGTCCCCGTCCTGCTAAAACTAAAGATTATTGTCCCTGTCCTGCTAAAACCTAAATATTATTGTCTCTGTCCTGCTAAAACCTAAATATTACTGTCTCTATCCTGCTAAAAACTAAACATTATTGCCCCTGTCCTGCTAAAAACTAAAGATTATTGTCCCTGTCCTGCTAAAACCTAAATATTATTGTCTCTGTCCTGCTAAAACCTAAATATTATTGTCCCTGTCCTGCTAAAAACTAAACATTATTGCCCCTGTCCTGCTAAAAACTAAAGATTATTGTCCCTGTCCTGCTAAAACCTAAATATTATTGTCTCTGTCCTGCTAAAACCTAAATATTATTGTCTCTGTCCTGCTAAAAACTAAACATTATTGCCCCTGTCCTGCTAAAAACAAAAGATTATTGTCCCTGTCCTGCTGAAAACCAAAAATTATTGTCCCTGTCCAGGTAAAAACTAAGATTGTAAAGATAGAATTAGTTTGGTCCGACCCTTTACTCAGATAAATACCCAGATTTAAAAGGACTGCCTTCGTAATCCCAAGTGATTCTCTTTTTCAAAGAGCTAGGTACATGCCATATGCACAATGGTACCCTTTAAACTTTAATCTGAGCAACAATGGGGAGAATATCCACCTTTTCCTTAAAACGATTTTTGACAATTTTAATTCTTCTGTAGAATAATTGCGCAAGTCACTGTTAATTTATAGATTGAAAAAAATCTCATTCTTCTGTCGGAGAAGGTTTGAACTATAAAGATTACTGTTGTGAATCAGACATGCCACTCTTCTTTTAATGGAGGGTCATTTAAAATCACATTCACAGTCTCTTTAGGCACACTTTTTATCCAGGTTTTTTCTCTCTCTCTCTCTCTCTCTCTGTCTCTATCACGGTCTCTAAGATTTGTATCTGCTGCGGTCCCTTTGTTAAGGTAGTAGATATACTTGTATACTTGTCCAGCCTTCTGTAAATATATCAGGTTTCTATACTAGGCTAAACCTACAGGGAGGGGAGGTAGGGGGGGGGTAGCAC